AAGCGAGCAGCTTCAAAAAGGCCTTCTCCGGAAAGTGCATCTAAGACCATTGAAGAGTTTGGATCCTTATTGGCATATGTCCTAGAAAAAGAGCCCACTATTCAGAATGCTGAATCAAGCTCACTAACTTGTTCATCAGATCTAGGAATAATCTGCTCTTGGATGGTGTCATTTCTTTCTTCTTCTGAAGTTGGTCGAGCATTGAATGCGATTGAGAAAGGGCCAATGTGAGCATCTGTGGATTGGTCGGCTCGCGATGACTGCAAAAGACATATTCACAAACAGCAATACAGTAAATCAGATTCAGGAAAAATAAAGAAGGGAAGAAATTTGCACTAAGACAGCAGACCATCGTGACCGAAGCTTTGAAGTAGTTATGATCAGAACCTGTGCAACCATATAAAACTTACGGCATTGCCGATTCATTGCCTCGTCGCTGGAGGTTCCATTGGTTGTATACACGCATCTCACTTTGCATTCCAACGATGAGTAAACCATCTCGAGCCCAACCTAGTGTAGTCGGCACTGGAGGCAAACCATCAGCCGATTGTAACTCGAGCACTCTCGTGCACACCCAGCGAGTCTTAAGCAAAAACTTTCATTATCGGGTATGCCTTGTCAAACAAAACTGATACCAGGCGACTGTAAGAATGCGCATGACCGACGAGAGATGAAGCTTTCCTAAGCGATGGACGCCTCATACTGGTATCGCTTTCTCTCATCAAAGCCACATTTTGTTGTGCAGGATCAAGGGACATCTACAAGTCGACCCGTAATACAGAACAACGCTATCTCGTAGATACCTGTGTGTACATGTAGATAGTCGCAGCGATTCCAGCAGTAAGGATGTGAGAACCGTCTTCAGTAGAAACCCAGTCCAACCGCACCATGTTCTTGATGGTGGCTTAAAAGGATAACAGTTTTCGTCTTGTAAAGAAATCACGCAAAGATGGAAAGCCTACACTGCTCACAACAATTTTTTGCTGGGGTCTTCTCAATAGCGCGTTTGAGATCCTCAGATGGTCCTGAATTTGCAAGATAGTACAAAAAAATCACTATGCAAACAGACTGAGCCTAGACATGCAAGGTAGTCAAAAGGAGCAATCCACAGATAGTTACAACAGATCATGCACGCACTCTCCTAATTAACCAATATGAGACACGACATAGTTAGTCAGAAGAGTTGCTACGCTACAGAGGCTTTTAGAACTACCTTGAATCATGCAAGACCTTTGCAAAGATCATCTTGTTTCAGTCCAACTTATTTTACAACTACCATTCCATGGAAGTTCAGGCACTTGCCCAACCCCACCCAGAATGCTATAGGGAAAACTACCAACAAATACTAAGCTAGATAGCAAAGCCACACCACGGAAACTCGAACGCAAGCGGAGGAGTAAAGATTCCGTACGCGGTGAAGTCGAAAGCTCAGCCAAAGGTTCAACTAGAGGTGACGGCATACAGGTTATAGTGCTGAAAAAATTTGTTG